ACATCAACCATTAGAGCCAAAGATTAAGAAACTGAGCAATTCCACCAACCTCGGAAGTCTGAGATTGATCAAACATGCAACCAAGAGGCGTTAGTAATAACTGGTGATTGGAATTCAATGTAAAGCAAAGGAAAAGATTTATGGTTGGAAAATAAGTTCTTGGTGATAGAAATGAAGTTGGAGATTGCAAGGCAGAGTTTTGTACAACCAGCAACTTCTTCATTGCATGTATCCTAATGTAAAAACATAAATGGTGGGCATAGTTCAATGAGGATTAATTTTATAAAGCATAATGAATGGGAATGATGGTATGCAATATTATATGAATGAAGGATAGTGTGAACACAATGGATGTGAACATTGTAAGCAAACCAATAAAAAAAGAAAAAAAGTAAAAAAATGGTGACTATACAAGTGTACCTCACTGGATAAGGAGGCAAAGAGATGAAATTAATGATATCTGTGGAAAGAGACAGTGGAAAAACTTAATCTTATCAGAATAAGACCAGGAGCTGACTGTGGAAAGACCATCAATTGCTCATATGCAAGTTTATCTTGAAGCAGAAGAAAATGAAAATGTGGTAAGTATTTCCCAATTGAACTTGGAGACTATATCAAGAATAGGCTCCAAAATCTCTGTAAATGTTCATGAAAACTAATAAAATTTATTTAAAAAGAGAATAGACGATGATAATAATGATCAGTAATGATCAAAGATGAGGTGAATTGAGGATAACATTAATAAAATCATACGTGAAGAAAACAAATGACCTCTAAACAATATCAAGAAAGAAAGAAACAAAAAAACGGATGTGAGAAGAGGGTCTGAAACTTGTTCTAGAAGGTAGAGAGGCTAATTAAAAACGTCATTGTCCCTTTCTGCCGGCCAGCCCTCCAGTCCCGCCCCTTCCTCGCTACCCTCAGTGTCCGCCATGGCCAAAGCCTACGACCACCTCTTCACGCTGCTGCTCATCGGGGGCTCGGGGGTGGGCGAGACGTGTCTGATCATTCGCTTTGCAGAGGACAACTTCAACAACACTTAAATCTCCACCATCGGAATTGACTTCAAGATCCGCACTGTGGACATAGAGGGGAAGAAGATTAAGCTGCAAGTCTGGGACATGGCTGGTCAAGAGCGATTCAAGACAATAACGACTGCCTATTACCGTGGAGCCATGGGCATTATTCTAGTCTACGACATCACAGATGAGAAATCCTTTGAGAATATTCAGAACTGGATGAAGAGCATCAAAGAGAATGCCTCGGCTGGGGTGGAACGTCTCCTGTTGGGAAACAAATGTGACATGGAGGCCAAGAGGAAGGTGCACAGGGAGCATGGAATCAAATTTTTCCAGACAAGTGCCAAGTCCAGTATGAATGTGGATGAGGACTTCAGCTCCCTGGCCTGGGACATCTTGCTCAAATCCGCAGGCTGGAGACTGGGAAGCAGCAACAAGTCCCCCAATACTGACCTGAAAACTGGTGACAAGAAGAACAGCAACAAGTGCTTGCTGGACCTGAGGGAGGCAGGGCTGAGGGGCCAGGTGGTGGAGAACAACTGAAGGGGCTGAGAGGAGTAAATGTAGAGGGAGAGGGAGAAGGAAAAAAGGAAAGAGAAAGAAGGAAAAGAGATACACTAGAGAGGGGAGGAGCAGCGGGAGAAGGGAAGGGAGTGAAAGGAGGTTAAGGAGGGGGCAGGAATTGAAGGAAGAGGTGAGGGGAGCGAACCCCCAACCCCCTACCCCCTGGGCTTCCAGGGCAAGCCTAAATGTAAATATATTGACTTACTCTGTTACTGGATCAGGTTTTAGGGACTTAGGAGTGGCTGGCTCACCACCACCCTCTGAAAGTTTGGTCCTGTCCTGTCACTCTTCCTGGTCATTCTCAGGAATAAAGGCCACATTTTGTACAAAACAAAACAAAACCACCATAAAACTTCATTGTCCTCAAGTTGGAACCAACTCATAGCTGATCTTTCAGTGGGTTTTTGGAGGCTCTGAATCATGCAGGGAGGTATTTCCCCTCTTTCTCCTGAGAATCTCCTGGTGAATTCAGACTGCCAAAGAGGCAGCACTTTTGGTTAGCAACACAACTCCCTACAGATCTCCTGTAGACAAGCTAAAGTGAATGGAAGCATTTAGGATGTAAAGGAGATAAACAAAGATTCAAACAAAGCAGGGTATTATGAAAAAAAAAATATGTGTAGACCTGAAATTAGAAAACAAAATGAGAAGAACTTACTTGGTATTTCTCATACTGAGAGAACTGTGTAACAAATGTAAGCCTTGGAGTGCAGTACAGAACCACTGTATGGGCAAGTCTTCCTTCTAGTCCGATGCCACCTTCCTCTTCAGAAAGCCCAGCTTCTCAAATGATTTGCTGAGCATACAGATGGAATAGATGTGGAGAAATTATAGTCCTGACACACACCTTTCTTGATTTTAGACCATGCAATCAATGTTCCCTTGTTCTTAATCTGGATATAGTTTTAACATGAGCACAATTCTGGAAGTCCCATTCTTCTCAAAGTTACCCATAATTTGTTATGATCCACACAGTCAAATACCTTGCATCATCAATCAAGCACAAATAGACTTTCTTCTGGTATCCTCTGCTTTTAGCCAAGATCATCTGACATCAGCAATGATATCCCTGTTTACATAGTCTCTTCTAAATCCAGCTTGAACTTTTGGCAATTCTCTGTCAATGCACTGTTCTAGTAATTTTTTTTCATGATCTTTAATATGATTTTACTTGCATGTGATATTACTGATATTGTTTTGATAATTTCCACACTCTATTGTATCACCTTTCTTGGGAATGGGAACAAATATGAATTTCTTCTACTCAGTTGGTCAGGTAGCTATTGTCCAAATTTCTTGGCACAGACTAGTGAGCACGTCTAGGGCTGCATCTGTTTGTTGAAACATGTCAACTGGCATCCTATCAATTGCTGAGGCCTTATTCCTCACCCTCCCCACCCCAAGGCCTTATTTTTTTTTCTAATGCCTTCAGTGTATCTAGATTTTCTTCATTATCATTGGTTCTTGATGATATGCTACTTCCTGAAATGGTTCTTTATCAGACAATTCTTTTTGGTACAGTGACTCAGTGTGGCATCAGAATCAGAGGAAAACTCATCAACAACCTACATTATGCAGATGACACAACTTTGCTGTAATTGAGAAGGACTTGAAACATTTTCTGCAGGAGATCAAAGACTACAGTCTTCAATGTGGATTACATCTCAACATCAAGAATACAGAAATCCTCACCATTGACTGATAGGCAACATCATGAAAAATGAAGAAAAGATTGAAGTTGTCAATGATTTCATCTTAACTTGGATTCACAATAAGCACCCTTGGTACCAGTAAGCCATAAATAAAAACTTGTTGATTGGGAAATTTGGAAAATCTGCTGTCAAGGACCTCTCCAAAATGCTAAAGAGCAGTGCTTTCAACTTAAAGACCAAGGAGTACTTGTCTTAAGCTGTAGGCTGTTCAGTTACTGCCTGTGCATCTGAAAGTTGGATAATGCCTAAGGATGACAGAAAAAGAAAGCATGCCTTTGAGTTGTGGTGTTGGTGAAGAGTACTGAATATCCCAGGGGCTGCCAACAGAACAAACAAGTATGCCTTGGTTAAAGTGCATCCATGATACTCCTTAATGGCAAAGATACGAAACTTCATCTCAGATACTTTAACATATTGTTAGGAGGAGCTAGTCTTTGGAAAGGGGTATCATGCTTGCAAAGGCAGGGGGTAAATGAAAGACATAAAGACTCTAAGGGAGGTGGATAGACACAGCGACTGTAACAATGGGCTCCAGTATGTCAGAGATAGAGGACACAAGGTAGGGTAAAGTTCAGATTCATAGGGTTGCTATGAGTCGCAGTCAACTTGATGGCATTTAACAATAATTATGGGCAAAATATTTAATCATGTAGAAATCATCAAAAGAAGATGGAAGGGATACAGAGTCAGTATAGTGTTGAATATACCATGGACTGCTAGGAGAACAAATAGCTTCATCCTGGAGAGGGTGAAGCCAGGCTGCTCCTTAGAGGCAAGGATTCTGAAGCTTCGTCTGACTTTCTTTGAGCATGTTACAAGGAGAGACCTGTCCTTGGAGAGGGACATGATGTTTGGGAGGGTGGAGGGACAACACAAGAGAGGAAGATCCTCGATGAGATGAATCAATTCAGTGATTGGGGTAATGGGAGTAGGTGCATCAGAGACAATAAGGTTGGCACAGAATAGAGCAGGGTTTAGGGTTCTTGTACATAGGGTCCCTATGAGTCGCAAGTGACTTGACAGCACATAATAGCAACAACAACATACCCAAAATAATTAACTGTTGCTCAGTCATTTCAAGAGGTGGCATATTGTCAAGAACCAGTGGTTCTGAAGGGACAAGTCCAAGTTGTACTGGAAAACATAAGCAAAAAACAAAGTTCTTGGAGTTGATGGAATACCAGTTGAAATGTTTTATGTTCACAGAGCACAGACTTTGAAATCTGGCAGATATGTAAGTCTAGATTTGACCATAAACTGTTCTTGTAAGCTTTCTGAGGGAGCTCTGGTGGCCCAGTGTTATGTAAGAAGCTGTGCTGCCAACCCAAAGGCATTCCATTCAAACCCACCAGGTGCTCTGCAGGAGAAAGATAGGCAGTCTCCTCCCGTGTGATTTATTGCCTCGTCAAACCTTCTGGGGGGGTCAGCCATGAGTTGGCTCTGACTTGACAGTACGTACAACAACATTAGCTTTCTGATCTTTCATTTCTTTGTATTAATTTCCTTTGCGTATTTCCTATTTCATTGGGACTTCAGGAAAATCAAAGTAAGATAATATCACAGTGCCCAAAGATGGGCTCACCATGAGCTAAAATCAACATGGTGACTGCTAACTCTGATATATGTATAATGAGAGCTGAGGAAACGTTAGCTTCCTTTTCCTTTTACCTTATTTCAGGTTGAATTTCTTTTCTTCCCATTTTAGATCTGTGCCTGTCGTATATTACGATCCAGAGGTATTTAAAGTCAAGCCGGCTGCTCTGAAGGCAAAATGTTCTGCCAGGATCCAACAGTTGGCACTACCTGTGAGGCGTTAAATGGCAGCAAAAAAGGCATGTCCTTCACCTAGCTAGGGAGGTGGAGCACACATTTGCTGATGCGTTTCTTTCTCTGCTACTTTCAGCTTCACCCCTACCACCACCTCCTCCTCCTCCCACAATCAAAGAAACTTTTGAGGCCTTTGGAGAAAACTACCGTAAACCCAGTACAGCAATTCCTACTGTCACCTGTAAACAGGTCCTTAGCAGATATTGGAACTCCATCAAGCAATAAACGAGAAATGCTACCCTGCCTTATTATTTTTATTCTTTCCTTACTTGCATTTGGCTGTCTCATTGTTGGGGTTGACCTGAGGACAGACTGCTCCTTGAAATTGTAGGGTTTACTGTTCCTTTTCCTGGTGAGTTGGTGTGCTTCAGTCCCTTCTTGAGTGGCTGAAGAGCAAACCCACTGATGTAGAGTTGATTCCTAGTCAGAGCAGCACTACAAACCATAGAACATCTAAAGAGAACTCTGGTGTCCTAGTGATGAGAAGCTGCACTGCACTTCCAAAAGGCACATGGTTTGAACTCATCAGCTGCTTCATGAGAGAAAGATGAGTAATCTCCTCTCATACAATTGTTGTTGTTGTTGTTATGTGCCGTTGAGTCGTTTGCGACTCATAGTGACCCTATGTACAACAGCCCTAAACCGTGCTCTATCCCGTGCCAATCTCATTGCCTCTGACACACCC